CATTTGCGTGTCCACACAAACTTGAAGGGGAAGACACGGCAGAGCAGTCACCGAGGAGGCCGAGTGTTTGTTGGAGCTGAAGCTGAAGCCGCAGCCAAAGCTGAGGAAGGAGCAACCGCTAATTGGGCTTTATTGGCGGTAAATGTCAAGTGACGGCATTGGATGACACTTTCCCCATTGCTCCACCTTCCAACTCATGCTACCACTGTTCCTGCCCCATCCGAAACAACAACAAACCACTTGATTATGGCTTTGCTGATAAGAGACAGCGATAGTGGGACAGAGAGTCGTCGCCAGTGGAAACTGAAACACGAAGCTTCCCCTGTAAAGGGGAATTGCCAATAAGTTGAGGCATGGGGTTGAATTCATGGTGGGTATCACCTTTTGGAACTCCATTTTGGATCCACTATCTCTGCTATTTCTGAGATGTAGATGTAACGAAACTGATTTCGATTGACGTTAAAAACTGCCAATTCGCAGAGCAATAAACAATTGCAAATTAATTTACTAAGTGCCACACACACATCCATAATGAGCTTCATGCTTTTTGTGCCAATTAACGCTTAATTAATTGCAGAATTAATATATGCCATGGACAATAGGGGCCACAGATGGAGATGGGGAGATATGGGGGGACAGGGATACAAGGATACAAGGATACAGGGAGAAAGAGAAGTTGAACAGATGCTTCATTTCATTCCATTTCCATTGATTTAAATGCATTTTTATGCAAATTTCACACCCACACTGCGGCACGCGTATAAATTATGCACAGAGAATGCGAATGTGGAAATGCCGCTGGCAGTTGTCCGTGCAGAAAATGTCCCATCTCTCACTGCATCTCCCTCCAACGCCTCCGGCCGCGGGGCATATGTTTAATCTCATTTGGAATTTTTTTGTTCAGTATCTATGTATTTGTCAGTACTCCTAAAACTATGCATCATTTGTTGGCGACTTTAATGTTGAATTAAATAACAAAAAATATTGGATAATTTATAGCATGGAATGCATAAATCATACACTTGGAAAAATGTGAAATTCACAAATAATTTGCATAATAACCGCATAAGTATTTGCATTGAATTGAAATCGTTCCAATAATGATTTTATTCGTGGCATAGTTGAGTTTTATTTAGAGAGAGAAACTCACATATAATTGCAAAATATATTGAAACGGAATTGAACAAGTCTTTCCATCAATCACTGGAGCTCAACCAATCAACCACTTTCTCAACAACAAAAACACTTGACTTGTGCAACAGATACTCGACTCGTACTTATACTCGTTAAATGTAATATTATAATCCAAATCATTTGAAAATCCATTTGAAAATCAATTAAGCACACTTTCAGATCAAAGCTAAGTCTGGTAAATCAAAGCAGAGCAGAGCAGAGCAAAGCTAACCCCGTGGAAGACAACAAAAACCTCACTCGGCTCGAACGACTGATTAACACACAAAGGCAGTCAATGAAGCGTGACTAAGACAGACAAAACGGCCAAAAAGAAAATGAAACAAGACAAAAAGGAAAAGCAAAACTTTGCTTCTGCCTCCAGATGTTTTAGGCCTCAACACTTGTAATTAGTTTTCTGTTTTCTGTTGGAGAGCGAGAGGAGAATGGGATTAGTGTATGGGTCTTTACGCCATGGGTATATTATTTTGTTAGATGAACGCACTACAAAAGATCACGCCCCAGACGAATTGAAAGTGAGCAACGGTGCGCTGCCTTTCTCCCAGAACTTTCTTTGATCTGCAATACTCTTGGGGTGCTTGGTACTTGCTCCGAAATTTATTCTTCGAAAATCAATCAATCGTGAACTGTCTTGATCAATGAAATTCCTCAACGGGGCTTTGGTCGAATAGAAATTTAAAACTCCTCTGAATTATATTTTAAAACACTTCTCTCAATCATATCCTATTAGTACTTTATTTTTCTTTGCTCGCCGTTTCTCCCCAAATTCCTTTTTATTCGCTTGGTCGCGATTTTGGTCTCGCTAGCATTTTTCTTCATTTGTCGAGGAGTGCTGCAGATACGTTATTGGTCACATTGAAATTTATATTGATGATTCTTGGGTTTGGCAACAGTTTGCATTAATTTCCAACGATTTGCCAAGCTGTTGTCCTTCATCTTTGCACACCCCTGACATGACTCTGTGCCACTGTACTCCTTCCCCTGCGGTGGCCTGCCTTCCTTCTCCTTCCTGACTCTGCTTCTGCTGCTGCTGCATATAAATAATGATTTCTTTGCCATTTGAATGGCAATCCATCCATTTGTCTTGTGCATTCTGACGGCATTAGAGGGTTGCACATGTGGAGAAGCTTGTTCCTTTTGTTCTCTTTCTCTTTTGTTTTCGTTGGGTTCTCCATCACTCATTCATGTACAAAATTGCATTTTGTTGGAATTTAGAGGGGACAAGAACCGCAACTTATGAACGAAAAGATAGGATAAATTTAAACACTTGAAAATATGTTGTGCGGGACGGTACATACATAGCAGCTTCATTTCGTAGCTGGGAAATAGCAATAAGTAATAACTATCGACATATATCCATGTATTTGTAGACATTTTCCTGCATGATTTTTGCATCCTCGTCACAATTTTCTTTCACTTCTTATCGGTTTCATTTTTCGCTCTTCCATATTCTCGCAACGAACAAAGAAGTCGCCTATTCTTTCCTCCATCCAAGCAAGTCGTTCGTCTTCATATTTATTGCATAACCATTGTCGAAAATCGGTTGCATTGTATGTCGCTATAATGCCAGGACATGCCCAAACCCAACCCACAACCCCTTCCTTTATTCATATTTTGCTTATATTTTTGCATGCAATTCGTCAAGAATTTCATCTTTGCCCCTTTCGCTCCTCGGGTGTTAATATCAACGCGAATTTAATAAGAAATATGCACGAAATGGGACAGAGAGTGGGGTGGGGAAAGGGTTTTTCATCGGGGCTTCCATTATCCATTATCGGCAACATATTGCTCGCTGCCTCGACTCTGCCGCTCCCAATGCCCCGTCTTATGTATTTCTCTTATTTTCTTTTCTTCCTTCTCGTTCGCTTGCATTATTTATGACTTGAGTGTTGCTTTATCTTTCTGTCTCTCTCTCTCTCTGTCTTTGTGCGTGCGTCATAATAATCAGTATTATTTTATTTATACATACATATGTACATGTATGTATGTATGTATGTGTATTTTAAGTTCATAAGCGATAAACGGCATCTTTCCTACTGATATATTTAGTCTGATTTATATGGAAATTTATTAATGCACCTTTATTGAAAACTGAAAAGAGTTTATGATAGAAATAACGTAGAAAATCTTGAATCTTTGTCTTGAATCTTTTCTTTTTTCGAACTTTAAAATAAAAAGTTGTGAAAATGTGTACAATTTTTGATAACTATAGCTATAGTAAAATGCATTAAAATGCCTCTTTTGGCTAAAGTTTAGAATTGGAAATGTTTTCAACTAATAATCTCCCAATTTTGATTGTACTCAAATGGATATGCACTACTTGAGCAAATGCACACACAGTGAAGTATATCCGAATTTCCATGAAATCTGTTTATACAAAAGTTTCCAGGAAACACAAGAAGCGCATTAAACTTTCACCTTTAGTTCAATTTTTCACCATAATGACATTCCAGCTCCTTTGGTCCTCAGATCTGATCTGATACGACCGCAGTTGCGGGCTTTTGTTTGCTGTGGCTGTTGCTGTTGCTGCTGCTGCTGCTCTTCCTGTTGCTGTTGTTTTATTCACTTTTTTCCCAGTGTTGGCTTTTTCACTTTGATGCAATTTTGTGTAGCATACTTGCAGGCAGCGCACTTAAAAGTCACATACACACACGCACACACACACATCCGCATGGAACGATAAAGTTGTGCTTTATGCTCCATCTCTTTCCATCGACATGTACATGTACAGTCTCTCGCTCTCGCTCTCGCTCTCGTCGTGTGTTTCTTCCTCTCTTTAGCCTGGTTAAGCAAGAGACAAAAGCGACACGAAAACGCCTGCAGGATGTGTGGTGTGGAGAGAGCGATAAAAAGCGGAAGTGCAGATTGCCCAAGCCCCAACTACGACTAAAGTGTGGAAATGTCAATTTGCTTTGTGGGCAACAGTTGGAGGGGGGGTTGGGGGCAGAGGCCCGAAGGGATTAGAGCGGCGGGAAGGATATATAGAGAGCCGATAGATAGAGAGAAACGGCATCAGCAGCATCAACAACTGCAACATCGCATATTGATTTTCAATTTGGAAAACGCACGGAGAAAGCTTTCACTTCCCTTTCCCTTCCCCGTCTGTGCTTCCTCTTTGTTGCTGTTTGCTAGATAAAAACAAAGGCAAGAGAGAGAAATGACATTGCCGGTACAGTGAACAGCCGCTATGCGAGAAATTGTTTTCCAAATCTACGAATCGACCCTCCGAATCTACGATTCTTTCTGCAACAAAATGATACACTTATATGGGATCCCTTATGAACAGCAGGGACTGTAACCGCAGGAAATGCCAGAGGGCACAGAGCCGCCGCTGACGATGGTTTTAAAACCACTGAGTGGCCAGAAGCCAGAGGCAGCAAAAGCTTAAAAGCAATTTTGTGGCTAATAAATCCGATTTCCGTTTTGTTTCGAAATAAATTGCATGCAACGTGAAGGGCGGGAGGGCAGTAGGGCGAGTGTAGTGCGCAGGATGCGGCTGGCGCACTGACAGACGGAAATGGCTACCAAGGGACGCAACAAACAAGGATCCACGTAACAGAAGCATCCGCCGGATGTGCAAAATTAGCCTGTTTCGGTTACCCCCACACACACCCTGACCCCACCCTCTCGGTGTGTGTGTGTGAGTGTGTGTGTGTATGAAATCTCCCCAAGCACAGACCCCACCAAAAACACATGACCCAATTTTTGGACGCAACTGCAATGGCAATGTCACTCGGGGGAAAAGTCTACTTTATCCACAAACATCCATCAGACCCCAGGACTCAAGGACTCGAATCGGCTGCACTCACCTGAACATCAAAATTTTGTTGCTGCAACAGATTGCCGGGAGATTCCATGTGATTGGGTCCAGCTCCTTGATGGTTCATCATGGGGGACTGTGGAAGACAGGCAAACAGCTCTCATTAAACAGAAACTAAACGCTCAAAATAAGCTCTTAATTACCAGTGCACAGATATCATTTCGATTGGGTGTAGGTGTATGTTAAATAAATTCTTATAAAATTTAATATTTAATGGAAGTGGGAAAATAATAATGATTGAGTCTATACATGTATGTACATGGAAATAAAGACACTTAATAAAAATATATGCCTTGAACTTTTACATATTTTCTATTCCAAGTAATTTGCATTTATTCAAGCGAAAATTAAACCGTATGCAGTGAGGCCAATATTATCGATCTCAAGGAATTTGCGACAGAAGGTTGATGGGGATTCATAATCGCCTGTAAAGTGTATTTAATGTTGAACGAACATGACCAGAGTCATTCAGTAAGCTTATAATATTATCACCATAAATATGTATAATTTCTGTGTGTTTGCCCGAAACATATTCGAAATATACAAACACAAGCACTGTCTCTATTTGCATGCAAATAGCTGATGGGTGAAATCTTAAATCACTGTGAAATCACTTGCAGGAATAGCATTAATAGCTCTCACTAGGTGCTTTCAAAACTGTAGGCCTTACCTGTGCCGCCATCGGCATTCCACCGCCCACACCGTTCATCATCGGCGGTTGCAACTGGTTCATCTGTGCCGCCATCTGCTGGTGGGTCGCATATCCCCCACCACCTCCGCCGCCGCCCACGCCGTTGCCATGGATGCGGCACTCCCCCATCCCGGATCCGCCACCCAATCCACCGCCCACGCCCATGCCCTGTCCGTGGTCCATGAGCATGTGGTTGAATGGGGGCGGCAATTGGGGAAACCCACCATGCTGTGAGTGGTCGAGTAGATTTTGGGGGCGTGGCAGGGTCTCTTCAGCGGGCGAAGGCTGCCGCGAGCCTGGTGTGCGACTGCAATGAGAGAATGAGAGAGTTAGAGATAGGAGAGGAAACATTAGCATAATTATAGTTTTAATTTAATTATAACTTATTTTGCTTAACATTATGTTACGTAACTAATATAACATATAGTTTACAGTTGAACAGCTTTTACAGTTGTATTAAATGTTCAAATATACAGTTTTAAAGGACTAACAGTTGTTTCGAAACTGTTAAGCTTCACACAATTGTAATTAACAGAATAGTTTTATGTTTACATCTGTAGTTTTACATCTGTTAGTTTAACATATATAAACAGTTTTACATTCATTGTTACAACCACTTAGTCATGACACACACCGCAGCCAAGACAGGCTACCACATGAACTAAAACCACCTTATTGCACAATTCTCATAAAACTGTATTACAAAATACAACTTGAACAATCCTTTAACATTTCCTATGAATGAATGAATAAAGATAGTCAAAAAATATAATTGATTTCGATTATTTGCAACACAATTGCCATTAATTGTCTCCCAAACAGTTTTCCAGACAATGTTCTGAGGGCGAAACAAAAGGAAATAACAAAAGACTCAAGCGACAAACTTGTTTCGAGACAAATACCCATGACGTCAGCTCACAGCTGTGGCCCAAACTCCATAAATAACACTCGAAACCAGCATGGAGACAGCAGCGGCGCTTAAAATGCCAATCAAAATCTAAACAATAAACCGGAGAAAAGCAACAACAACAGAGTTTAGATCCAACTAAGAGCAGCAGATGTTTTTCAGATCATGTGCCGATGTATGCCGATTAATTAATGCACTCCGAAACACTCGGATTTGCATAGCAGCTTCCATTCATTCATTCAGTCAGTCAGACATTCATTCGTGCTTAACCCAATGCTCTTAACCCCACTCAATGCAAAGTCAATGACTTTGCAACTGTTTTATTTGTTGTTGTACATATTCTGAGCAATATATACCCTTTCAGAGGGTAGCTTTAAGGTAGCAAATGGATAAGAAGCATTCGGGGGAGGGTTATACTTTCGTATACCCTGTGAGAGGGTATTATGCGTTTTACCAATTGTTTGCAACATAGACCCCAAAAAGTAAGTAAATTTTCTATTATGAAAAATTCTAATTGGGATTTAAAAACAAAAAACAAACAAATACAAAATAAAATTTTTATTTAAACTGAATGCGAAAATTTCCAGTAATCCGTGTACGTGAGATGTGTTCCGTCTCAGTGGAACAAGCCAGCATCATCAGCGAATGGTATAAAAAAAAAATGAAACGAATATTTCATGTGGCAGTTGCCATGGGATTGAGGAACATGTAAGGGTATCAAAGCATCGGCCCCTTAAGCGAGCATTCCTTTCTATCTTACTAAAGTTAATGGCCGTTTAGCTGTCTGTTTGTTTCTCTATCTGTCCTACTCCACCACCTGCCTCACTGTTGCTTCTGTCTCTCTCTGACTCAGCTCGCTTGCATGTAGTAATTGCCATCTATAATTTCATTGTCGGGTCATTCACATTGCATTTAACAAACGCACCCCAACAACAGCAGTAGAACCGAACAGCAGCAGAACAGAACAGCAGCAGAACCGAACAGAACCGAAATGATTAGCAGGGCTAACCACTGCTGCTGACACTACAGCACTGAGAGAAACGCCAGTGCTCGTGCAACTCTAATGGGTGTGATTAATTGGGGGTATTATGTGAGGCCAAATTATACCCAATAGCTGACAGAAGCTGTCAAACAGTTGCGTTTTTGTTAGGGGATTGATCATCAGCGCTTTCAGACAGAACAGAAACTTTTGGCAGAACGTGGGTTCTTTGAGGAAACTATCTGCAATCAACACAATTGCATGGACCTTCATAGTTTAGGATATCTAATAAAATATTTATAAGTAAGTACACAGATGTTGAGTATTTAAGCGACAGAATTTATTGCATCGGCCCACACCTTTCGATGAGTAATGGAGAGTATATCGTCGTTTTTTTTCGCATTCTGTAAACCATTTTAATTGTCACAATCGAATCACACTAAATAATTATAATTATAAATAATTATTTATATTATAATCAGATTATAATCAGTAAATGACTTGGGCAGTGGTACCTCGAGAAAGCCTCTCGAACTCTGATGTGTGGTGGTTTATTAGAAATCTACATTATTACTCTATAGCTTTAATTAATCAATTGATTTCGATTGCTCGATTCGTATGAGACGTACGATCGTATTCAACTAAAGAAATATAATTACTACCTGCTCTATTAGTCACACTTCTAGTTCCAACTGAGATCGTAGCTCGTGACTCCCTCTACATACATATGTATGTACATATACATATTTATGCCTCAGGTGACATTCTTTTCGGTTTACGCAACAAGACATGAGCCCGTAGCCACATTCGCCACCTCTCCATCCTAGTTTATAGCACTCCCTCCGCCCTTTTCTCTCCGATTATGACCAAGGTCAGGTGTTTACAGGGCAGCTTTCCATTGACAATGTTCTGAACTATCGCTGACCTAGGGCAAAGCCACATATTCTTATATGATCAACCCACTGATTTTCACTTTCCATGAACCCATTAACAAACAAAAGAAACTCTGGCCAAAAAAGAGAGTGAGGAAAACGAGGGACGGCGACAGAAGAAAGTCAACCAAAAAGGTCAGAACAAGTAGAAAGAGGTAATGACTCAGAGCAAGGGCGTGGTCAAGCGGGAGCACACACACACTCAACAGGCAAGTGACAATACTGTTTCTACTACGGTCCCGTGCGATTCATTTATCGTATATATTTCAAAAGGATATTACACGTTGATATATATATAAATTTGGAGCCAGCTATAATAAGAAATAACAAAACAAAATATGTAATCGACTAAACATAATTTTGAGTGATTTTTGTGTTTAGCCAAAAACGGATGATTCCGTCAACTATTCTTAAACATGAATGGTATGAACGAGTGAGTGAGTGTGTGAGCAAATTAATGAGTGCATCAGTGTGTGATTCACTTCTCTGTCTCACTTTGCCTGCCGCAAAGTATTTTTAGCAATGCTACGTTTTTCAATGTTTTCGCAATTTTAATTTCAAACAAAACAAAATAAAAACAACCAAAAAAAACGTTATAACACAAAAAAGCCTTCAAACAGCAGACACAAACTCAATTGAAGCCCACACTGTAACGTAATATCAATCGAAATCGAATCGAAAAATGTATAGAAAAGTCAAACAAACAAAATCAAATAAAATGTTTCTTTTACTTGTTGTTGTTATGCTCTTGTCTTTTCTTGTGTCGATTCTCTTTGTTGCCGTAAATTTAGCTGTGCTCTGCCTCTGTTTCTTTGCTGTTGTACGATTTACACTGTAAATGCTGCTCTGCTCTTCTCTGCTTTTGCTGTTAGCTGCTTCTGCTGCTGCGCTGCTGCTTTTGCTTATTATTTTTTCTCGAGATGTTCTTGCTGCGTTTACTATTCCTGCTACTGCATTTTCATCAGTCTCTGATTTTTCTCTTGAATGTACGTATGTATGTATGTACATACACATATTTACATCAGTTGGGTTTGCCTCATCTTTATCTTGGACTATCCTGCTTCTTCTTCCGCTGTCGCTGTCGCTGCTGCTGCCTTTTCGTGTTCATCTTCCGTGGCTTTGCTCGTAGTTTCTGTTCCTTCTGCTTCTGCTTGTGTTCCACCAACCCTCCCGCTGCTTACATCATAACAGTTATTACGTTTGGCATTGAAACAAGTTTGGGCTGCCGGCAATGAAATTGCAACAGACACACACCAGCAACAACAAAGCCAAAGAGAGAGAAAGAGAGAGAGACAGCGCGAATAGCCGGCTGCTGCTCAAGTGCGACGAAGTGAGACAGAGAGAGAGACAGAGAGAGAAAAAAAGAGCGAGCCACCGCAGACTGGTTTCTTTTTTTTCGAGTTAGGCCTAAAACGCGCTGATCGGGTACACCGTTGCTTTATACCCTCGCAGGGGGTATATTAAAATCTTCTAGATGTTTGTAACATACAGAATGGTTCCTTCTCTGACCAAATAGATTCGATATAGCCATTTGTCGGAATAAGCCGGATCGGATTACTATTATAAATGGCTGCATAGGAATAAGTTATATCTTTATCAAGATTTATCAAGTAAACGTTCACATCAGTGTAACTCTGTACATGTTTTTTCATAACCACAAGCTGGCATATAAAAATATGTAGTATTTACATAAATACATTTAGCTATATACATATACAGCTGTGGTCATGCAAATAGTATTGCGACACCTCACCACTTTAAGAACTGTTTTTGAGACACTTCCAGTATTCCAAGTCGAACAAGTTATACCTTTTTAGAAAGCTTGGAATTTAAGCAATAGCACCATGCCATTGCATTTGCATTCCATCTTCTTGTTTTACGTCACCTTGGAAAAATAGACACACAAACCAACAAAAAGTTTTTGCAGAAAGATGGACCCATAGAAGTCGTGTTCGTTTCCCAAACTAAGAGACAACGTTTGACCAAGTTCCTAGTTTCATCCGCATATTATATTATATCATAATAAAACGTAATTCTTATAAATTCAAACAAAACAAACAAAGCATTCAAAGCAATCAAACAATGAAACTGTCTGCAAATCCGATTCATGTTAAATCGTTCACAAATCATTGCATAGTACCACCTTTCTACAAGTACTCTAACTCCAATGGGGGGCATGCATTACTCTTGCAACATACCACTCACAAGTATTCGAATTTAACTCAATCTCAAAGTGTCATCGTCGTCGTAGCTGTCGTTGCGTCCGTCGTCTTTCCCCATTTCGAGAGGCGCAAAACGCAGGTGGGCCACACGAAAAAGAGCTTTCCCCATTGCCATAAATAACAATTAAAAAAATAATAATAATAAATGTAAATGGAAATACTCGTACAAGACCCGTGGGCAGGCACAACAATCACTTGAAGAGTTTATATCGTACATGTTTATGGAGATATTGCGATTTCAATTGAAGACAACTGAAATATGAATGAAATATGGGTTAAGCCCAAAACGAACAGAAGACGAAAGCGGTCAGTGCTCAATACTCTTTTTTGGGTCAATCATTTTGTTGTAATCAGCAACTGCATCAAGGTTACAATTTATGTAAGATTTATGTACATAGTATTGAAACTTGGGTAGAATAGGGATATGCACATGTGTCATAGGAAATTTAATTTAAGCCCTAGGTTATATGATCCACATACATACATACAAAGGTACATACATATATATGTATATTGATTAACAGTTATCTGCTAAGTATAGAGAGACTATTTAACCTTTGAAGATATTGGTTAATTTTACAAGCAATTAATTTAGTGAAGGTAGGTCAATAAGTACTAGTACTCATACTAGTTTAGATTACGAATTTTTTTACAGTACATACACATGTACACTACCTCTATACTCTTCTCCCACTTCACGCTCAGTTTGAATTAGACTAAAACTCGTAAAGGCACTGAAGCTGCCCTTCCTGCCATCACTCCTTGGGATAAGTCATTCCATATGTATGTATGTATTTCCCTGTATCTTTATGTCAACACAAGTGTGCGCGCCTTTGAACGTTTAATTATTTTTTATTTTTCACTTGCCCTAACTATTTTGGGTTTTAATGAATTGGAGTCGACACTTCTGTGAAGTATAGTTCTTGAATGTATTCCTAGGACGTTCTTCGGTATAGATTACCTTGCTTATTGAAGTCTCTCTAATTATTCCATAATTTGTATCAACATTTGAATGTTTTTATACCCGTACTCAAAAAGAGTTAAGGGGTATATTGTATTTGTGGTAAAGGTGGGTGTGTGTAACGCAGAGAAGGAAACCTTTCCGATCCCATAAAGTATATTCTTGATCGGCATCAATAGCCGAGTCGATATAGCCATGTCCGTCCGTCTGTCCGTCTTGTTGAGCAACTGTTTGATGATTGCTACTATTTTTTTAATCTAAATTAGTTTTAAAATTTTAGACCATTTATCTCAAATATTCTCATACCAAATGGATGACTAAACAACTACCTATCTAACCCCTAACCCACAAAATGAGCTCTTAAACATGCTCCGAGCAGAGTGCCAGTCACGATGAAAGCGTTAAACTGGAAAAACACTCTTTCCCCTACCCCTAAACCCGACACTTAAATCAGAGGCCGCAATTGAGAGTGAAAGTCTATGCAAAAAGAAAGAGGCAACCTTGAACTGGAAATTCATTTCAATTTCAGTAATCATAACACGGGGCAACACGGGGACCGAAGAGAACCACGAAGACAAACGACTTTTGGGGCGAGAGGAAACCTGTTTCTGTGTCTGTTTCTGTTTCTCTAGAGTCTAGGTCTGGTCTGATCTCCGGTTAGAACCAGAGTCGGGGGGTATTGAAAGTTGTCTATACTCACTTGAAACCCTTGTCATCGTCAATGCCATTAACAACACCGTTTGTGTTTGAGACCTGATCGTCCTTCTTCATCCCGTTTGTGTCGAACGGAGAATTTGCCTTTTCCTTATCATCGTGTGACTGCAATTTCGAATGATTAGTAAGAGACATTCAAAGAGATCCATCCCATGCTACTGCTCACCTTATCGTTGTCGTCGAACTTGAGGTTGCGCAACCGCGGCTCGAGGCCGGACAAGGGGCTCTCCTTGTTTGTGGGTGATCCGCCCAAAACATATTCAACCATTTTGGCGCATTGCGAATCGCGTGGACTGAAATGTGTATGTGCAAGACGATTATTAGTTGCGATTAGGATAGGACGATTATAGTAACTAAATTAAAATATATTTAAATATTAATATGATTCCTACCTCAATATGCCCGCATTGCCACTGTTGGATGTATCGGAGGCTCCACCGTGTCCCGCATAACCGCGTGATCTGGGCGGTGCCAGGATATTCTCGCCCTGCGTGGACCAGGTGTGGTCCTTCCATACCGACGAGGGATCACCGACGCCGGGTATCTGCAGTGGATTCAGAGGTCCACCCGGTGCGCTGGATGTTCCTTTTCCATCGGACTTCTCCCACAACTTCTTGGCAGTGGATGTGGTAATCTGTAAGGGCCAAAAGAAAAAGTCCAAATTATAAATTGCATGTCCATAAATTGAGCCAAGTTTAGCGGAGCATGACAGCTGTCTCTAGCTCCAAAGTCATATTCATTTTCCCCCCTGTCAACCTCTTGATGTTCTCATAAATTTCCCACTAATCCACTATCTCTTTCGCTGTTCACTATTTCTCTTTCCCCTGACCACTCTCCACGAGTCGAGAGCAAAGTTGATTCCCTACATTTAGCCGACATTTTATGACAACTTTGGCCAAAAGTTTCCCGTGAGCCGACAATTTTTTGGGGGTTTGGATGTGGGAAACAACTTAAGGGTTGGAGTACAAATTAGGTAACAAAAATTATAAAGTTACATTAGTTCTTGTACGTTCTTTTACGTTGATTTTCTGTAGAGATTTTGAACAAAAAATAATTTTCCCGTAACATTGGACTTCATAATTCGATATGTGTATTGGTTGTAAGTTAAAAACGAACCAAAATACGAGATGGGAGGAGTATGGGTGAGAGCACTAATGGGAATGAGAGAGGGGACATAATAAATGCAATCGTTTCGGGAGCAGATTCCCACTGGAAGGCAAAGCAAATATCACTGAAATCATATCATCACATAAGACAAAAAAAAACACACAATACCAGCGACAATTAACTGTCAACGGAGCGTTGCAAACAAATTGTTAATTAACTTTTCACCGCTCATTCCTCTCGTCTTTGTCTCCGTTTTACTCATTTTTTTCAACCATTCCCAAAGGCATTTCCTTGCGTCATAATGCGACAGAATAATCCTCGCCACTCGCTATCCTACTCCATCCTCCCACACACACACACACACACACACACACAGCACACACATGCTGGCATATCCTGACATCCAGTTTAAATATTTAATATCTTATCAACTGGGATTGCCGAGGGGAACGGAAGAATGTAATGGGTGTATGGGAGAGAGATGGAAAGCTGTCGACTTTCTCGCTGTGCCTCGTGCATTAATAACCCACGTAAGCCTCCCAGCGTAAGCCAGACCAAAACAGCAAAACGTTCTCTTAACCCTCACATCACATCCCAAGAAAAGGGGATCCACGACTAATAACGTTTTACGTCAATTAATTGGCCATGCAATGTGTTTATTTATTTGAATATTTTATAGAATCAATCAATAACTTTACAGTCGACAATATGCCTTTGACAAAATCGCCTACCCAATATTCTCGAGGTTGGAAAAACTATGATATAAACATTCAAAAATTCAAACTTCAGCACGCGAAACTTTCACAGACCTGGACCCACATCGCAGTATCTATATTTCGGGCATCAGAAACCCCAGGATCAACACGGAATGACAGCTCGATTCGAGCGTGTTAATACATACACACGATATGTGGTAAATTTCACTTAAAATATTTATCTTTAAGCGGGCGGGAACGTTGTGAGCGGCGGTAAGGCCAGCGGCTCTACTTTTATACCCGGTACATACATATGTAATCTTATGATTTATATATGTAACTTATACAATATACATATTTTATACGAAAGCAGTGGAATTGGGATGGGAAAAACATAAGAGAGATAGAGAGCAACCACGACCGCTAGTTATGTTTTATTGTTAATTCTTTCACTTCAACTATCCTTATTTCAGCTAATCAATTATTAAAATTAAAGTAGTGTGTGAAAGAGAGGAAGCGCGTGGGAGTGGCAGCGTTACCGCGGCAAACTGATTTGCTAATTCTGGCTGTAATAATGATCCGATCTGATTTGGTAATCTGGTAGATATGTTCATTCTGTATAATGCTAGGATTTTCAGTTTTCTTGTATCTTATCCACATCTGCCACAAAGTTAATACATTTCTTTCTATACTCTTTGAGTGTTAGGTATAAAATTACCATTGATTAATCGAAGATTCCAAGTTTATCAATATCAAAAGAATACGTCTAACAATTTGAACGGACTTCGTAGTTGCATTCTCACCAAAATTAATATACCCTTAAAATTGAAAGATCTACTATATGTAAATACATACATACATATGTATTCAATAGATCGGCAATGCATTCCTACATACATATGTATGTATGTTACAAACTTCAACTAAATTTAAATATACCCTCTTCAATGGCATACTGAGAGCGGGACAATAAAAAACTTGACTATTAAAAAGCAAAGAAGACGAAAAAAAAACAAGCGGAAAAGTGCGAATTGCAGACCAGAAGAAGTGTTAAAAACTAACAACAACTGCAACAGCAACAGCAAACGGCTGACGCAACATTGGCCGTAAATATGGGTCACAGACTGCATGAAAATGAATGAAAATTGTTTTTGCCAGTATACAGCTTTACCGAAAAAGTGTATATCAAATAAATTATTTAAGCCGAAATTCAGAAAGAAATAATTGAAAAATAAAACCGTAGACAGAGTGGGATCCGAAAATAAAGACAAAAGAGGTGGCAACCAAAAAATTGCGGTGCCAAGCAAGAATCAACAATAAAACCATAATGATGATAAAACAGATGGGCGATCTATCCAAAATTAATTAAATTAACTCGCACAATAACAGGAATACAAAGAATCTACATACATATGTATAAGACATTTAATTTGGTTTGGACAATTTTTTTCCCTATTCTTGATCTACTATTTTTCCGATCATAAAGATTTTCAGTAGCTAATTACATACATAAACAACACTACTCGACACGAGTTTTCCTCAAGGAACAAAACCAACTTTTTCTTAAAGATTTAGGGCTTATTTGGGGTTTGATATTTTTTTTCTATGGCAGTACTTTTTTTTAAGAATTTTCACGTAACTCTAGTATCTTACATCTGGTTGTTAAGAACTTTTTTTGTTCATTTTTATTTTTTTTTTCATTTTTTAGGTTTGGTTAACGAATTTTAGCTCCAAAAATTCTCCGTAGATTTTAATGAGCCTTAAACGACGCCCAATTAATGCACTTATACACACAAACATAAAAAATACAGCATATCATTTTTAAAGTTTTTAAAGTAAAAAAAAATTCGTAAAAAATACCGCACTAAAGTCATCATTTTTGCATTTCAATGCTTTATATTTTTCCCAGACTGTAAGCTAAAATCACAGTGTTTGGGATTGACTTTAGCTGCTTTAATTATATTTTTAAAATAGCAAAGTTCTTTACAACCAGACGTAAGATACTAGAGTAATGTGAAAAAAGGAAGCGCTACCTCTGAAAAAAGCTTTAAAAAAATAATAGTTTTCAAAAATTCTTCAAAAAAAAGTTCTGCCATAGAAAAAAAACCATAATTCTTAAAAAAAATGTAAAGTCCCATATCTATCAGAAAAAGTCGGTTTGGATCCTTGAGGAAAAAAAAGGTTGGATTTTGTCGAGTAGTGTAACAGACAAGACTTTGATACCAGCTTTACTTTTTACTCATTTATTCTTATACTCCTTGTGATTCTCATACCTACATATAGCTTATTCCATAGGTTATTAACAGATATTAAACCAGCATGTATTCAAAAAAGATTCTTCTACTTATAAAAACCCCGTTCCAACAGGTAACAGTTTAGGCTAACATTAACATGTGCTATACAAATTTCCCATAAGCGAATGGGCACATTCGTTTCGAATTACACGAGACAACAAAGACTCGTAATTAGTACGATGCGAATGGAACCACAGTATTAGTGTCCAGGATAAAAAACATCAATTGTACAAAACATGGTATTTCTAGCATAAAAAACTCAAAGCGGAAAAGTGACAGAAACATAAACAAAATACCGCGTTTTCCAACACAAAATTGTTGTTTTCTGGCAAATGAATTAATGAAAAATCAGCGGAAGAAATCAAGGCATTAGGGATTTGAAAATGTTTAGTATACAATTATTGCGTTTCAATAGAAAAACATATTCTCCCCCACCCCACGCCCATTCAGTCACTTGGCTCCCCCCCCTGAGAAAATCTACACAAAAGAAAAAATCGTTCATTAACTTGTCCTTGACTGTGAAAGAGACAGAAACACAAACACGCACAAACACGCACACACACACCACACACACACACCAGCTGAACCCAAAGGGAGCGCAAGACCCAGAGAGAAATGAAGAGAGAGAGAGAGAGACTAGGCAGAAACCGGCCTCTTTGTAAAAAAAGAAAAAAAACAAAAAGAAACATGCGTAAGAGGAAGACAGACAAGACAACACTGAGAAGAACAAAGCGAAAATGTCTACAAAGCAGAAACCCAGAGAGAGAAAAAAGAAGAAACAGAAAAAGTAGGCAGAAAACAAAAGAGAAAAGAAAAACTTAGAATGCCAATAGCAAAGCAGAGACCGAGAGAAAGAGAGCGAGCAATACTGCTGGGCTGGTGGGTGGGTGCGTGGGAGCAGAGCGGGGGGAGGGGGAGTGTCCATTTTTTGCCCATAGGCTCGAGAGCAAAGAGAACGAAAAAGAACAAAGCATAAGTAGCAAAAACCTGTCAGGAATTGAACAAATCATATACAAGGTATATTTTGTACAAGGTGTAGAATTCATGGATGGCCGTCTCATTGTCAAAATGGGCCACCCCGCCAGTTATTCACCCCAAATGAATATACTTTCAACAAATCTGTTAATTAGCTTGGTTCTCTTTTTCTAATTTAAAATTTATTTAAATTTTCTTCAGCCTGCCAAATTGTGGTTGCCGAGTGGGTTCTGCCGAGAGACCACGAATGCAAAAGTGGTGTAAATTATGTGCGTTGATTGATTGAAAGTGGTACTTCAGGTTAGGTCTGGAATCTGCTGGTGATTTGAGCCACATTTAATGGCATCCACACACACACATGCCATGATCTATGAGAACTACAGAACTTGGGTCGAAATTAGGGGCTGTCTCTTTGGCTAATTCCGTTTCCACATAACATTCCATTGTGACACGTTCCACTGACTACTGATATGTCACTACTTAAGTTTTTTTTTTTTGGATCAAAATAACAGGTACATATATGGAAATGGTAGCGAATTGACTTTGACTTATGACCACCGCGT